CAGAACCAGAGAAGACAGCGCCAGTACCCTCAGTACCCTGGTCCCATGCAGCTCCATTCTGATTTCTTGGGATCTTCAGTATTGAATAACACACACCAAACACCAACTGGGGTGGGCAGGATGCCACACCTACCAGGTCACCACCACAAAGAATGGTGCTCAAGGGATTTAGGGGATACTGGTGGTAGGTGAGAAACTGGGGGAGCTGCAGGGGGGCATCACCACTGTGACCTGGGCAGTTTGGACATATCTTCTCTCAGGACCCTGCTTCACCACTGAGTCCTCAGGGGCCTAACACACCTCTCCGCTGGCTCTGTCCACAGGTCCTAGGGACCAGGCTCTCACCTCTACTCTGTCCACAGCTCCTGGGGACCAGGCTCTCACCTCTACTCTGTCCACAGCTCCTGGGGACCAGGCTCTCACCTCTACTCTGTCCACAGCTCCTGGGGACCAGGCTCTCACCTCTACTCTGTCCACAGCTCCTGGGGACCAGGCTCTTACCTCTCTGCTGGGTCCCCTACACCCACAGGTCCTGGGGACCAGGCTCTCACCTCTCTGCTGGATCCCCTACACCCACAGGTCCTGAGGGTCCAGTCTCACACCTCTCTACTCTAACCACAGGTCCTGAGGTACCAATTTCACACCTCAGCCTCTTCTGTCCATAGGTCCTGGGGGAACACAGGTGTGTCACTGAGCCTCTGATCACTGCGTGAGGCAACTCTCTCCTCCTGCCTGACTCTCAGATTTCTCCACATCTGGGCGTGCAAGTTGTTCCACAAGTCATATAGATACAGCCCCTGTGCATGGCCACAGTGATTGAGCTTAGCGCCCACCCCTGCTCCTCGCCACCCAGGATCTGAGAGCTAGCACCCAGGGAGGCCAGTAGTCAGCAATTCCTTCCATGAACTAAGAAACCAGGCAGAGGACAGACAGCACGTCCCCCCATCCCTGTGCAGGAACTTGCTGTGTCTGGGCGTGGTGCTGTTATCCCTGGCCATGCCCCACAGCCTGCCCTTCATCTCAGGAACTATCACACGTCCTTGCTAAGGAGTCCAAAGGGCCCATAGGAACACAGTGAGAGAACAAGGCAAGAAAATGTCCCTGGGGTTACCAGAAAATATTTTCCTTTCAAAATCCAAGGTCAGAGGAAGGGCCAGGTGTCTGTGACAGAAATCTTGGGTCTACCAGAACCATCCCAGGTACTAAGGGCATCTGCTGCTATGCCATGCTTTAGGGACAAGGACAGAGGTTGCTCAGGGACTGTTCTCTGCTACTCTGCCTTCAGTGATTTCGCCACTGCCCTTGGCAACTCTGTCCTCAGTGACTCAATGACGCTGCCCTCGGCGACTCTGCCCTCCATGACTCAGTGACGCTGCCCTCGGTGACTCAGTGACTCTGCCCTCGGTGACTCAGCGACTCTGCCCTCGGTGACTCAGCAACTCTGCATTTAATGATTCAGCGACTCTGTCTTCTACCCTCCGCAACTCTGCTCTCACTATTCCTGGTGACCGCCATGTTGAAGGCTGCACTTCAGGTGGAAACTTCTCTGTTGCTACCACAGCCAGAGGCTCGTGCCCCTTGGGGCTCTTTCTCTCAGGGTTGTGCTGCTGCAGACCTGTGGGCCACCACTAGCCTCTGCTCTGAGCTCACACACATGACCTACATGGTCACCCTGCTCCAAACCCACACATGGTCCACACGGTCGCCCTGCACTGAACACAGGTGGGTAAGAGGGTCCCACACAGGCCTCTGAGATGAAGATCATGGCTCACCATGGATCTGGCAGCTCAAGAACAACAGGGAGATGGTTGCACGAGACAGCTGGGATGCTGCATGTGGGAGTCTGCAGGGATGAGGCATACCCATGGCCTCTCCAGAAACCGGGGGAGTGAGGGGCAATACCAGCAGAACATCCCCCTCTGAGAAGGAGTAACAGGAATCAGAAGGTTGTTGGCAACAGAAAGAAACTAAATAGAAAGTGGCTCTGACTTCAGCATGCCAGAGGGCTTTAGAGTCTGGGGTGTAGGGGTTGCTGCCCACAGTCACAGCAACAGTCACATGGTGTGCCCACCATCAACCAAAATGCTTCCTCCTTGCCACACAGTGAGAGGGCCTGGTCCACCACCTGGCCAGCCCACTTTCCATCCCAGGGCCGTTCCCCCATCAGACTCTGCCAGGCCACAGGACTCTGCGAGTATGGACTGATGTCCAACGAATGCTTCAGCCTTCACAGGGCTCCACAAGCCACAGCAGTTTGCTCCCTGAAGACAGAATGAACTGGAACCAAAGCTCCACTGAGTTGTGCATCTCTGAGTACCAGGAGCCGCCTCCCAGGTGGATTCTGATTCCATAAGCTACCCCAGGTGAAGGCAGTGTGGTGACAATGAGCTGGGAGCCGCATATGCAGGCTGGCTTGTACAGGTGTGTACACAGGCGAGAAATCTGTCGGATGCTCACCTGTGTACACACACCATACACAACGTCGGCAAAGATGAGAGCAAGGATACAGATGGAATGCGTGCATCCATGCCGACACACAACCCTGCTGGCCGAAAACAGGGCCAGGCTCCTCCATCCCAGTCCACAGACGCCACCCAGGCAGCCCCAAGCCCTCCCACAGGGACTTGAAGAGCACTCTGAGATTCCCACTTAAAGTACAAGAGGAAGCAGGAAAAACTACCAGAATTGCTAAAACCAGAAGAAGTTCATCTCCGACTTTCAGGGGAATCCTACCTGCACAACAAGAGAAATCACCAGAACTGCAGGCAGAGTCGGCAGAGACCTCCCACAACGCCAGCTCGTCTGAGCCTGCTCCAGTGGCTGTACCCGGTCCCTAGTCCCCAGCCCTCAGGACAGCTTGCAGGCATGGCCAGAGGACTCTGTGACCCCTACAGCAGAGCAGAGCTACCTGTCTGCTGGGGCCCTCAGAAAGGGCAAGGAAGACCAGAACCAGCCCAGCCACATTCAGAGCCTCGTGGTTGCCTGGCCCAGTACACTGCAAGCAACGGGAGCTCTGAGCAGGCGTGGGGAGCCCAGGGCAGATGCGGGGGGCTGGGGCAGGCGTGGGGAGCCAGGGTAGGCATGGAGAGCCTGGAGCAGATGTGGGGAGCTGGGGCAGGCGTGAGGAACCTGGAGCAGATGTGGTCCTGGGGCAGGCATGAGGAGCCCGAGACTTACTCTCAGAACCTCTGCACTTTGTATAGCTTCCAGATGGCTGCAAACTTAATGCCAGCACAGTGGCCTTCACACCCCTGCCCTCCAGGCCTGGATCAGCACCATGGCTAAGGGGTCAGACCTCAGCCCTGGCTCCCTGGGTCCTGGAGGCAAAATGGCCAGGGGCCATGAGTGACCTGGGAGGGACAACAGGACGTGCATGGAGTCTCACAAAACAAGAAACAAGGGACACATGAGGCGGAGACAACACAGAGATGTCGCCTCAGCCAGACAGGTAGGAGTGAAATCACGGGGACCGGCTCCGTGTCCTCCCGAAGGGCAGTGGCTGGGGCACTGGGGCAGTCTGCTGTGCAGGGGGCAAGGACACGGACACATCTCGGGATCAGCATCCATGGGCCCAGCACTCAGCACTTGAACTTCCACATGCTCAGCTTCACAGAACAGAACCAACACAGACATGGTTTCAGGGACGTGCCCTCCCTCCCCTACCCACTGATGACAATCAGTGGTGATTCAACCTGTGACCTGGGGGCTCCCTGGCAGGCCCAGCACTGCCCTGGCAGTAGGTGCTCTGCACAGTACCCACACTTCTGTCTACAGTAACTGGAGTTGGCCATGCTCTGAGCTAAGACACCAATCTTATCTCCTGACCTGGAATGGGACTGCATTCTGCATGAGGAGCTCTGTGGGTAGCTGGCTGGGGGACCCCAAGTTGGCACTCCCATGAGAGTCCCTGCCATGTGACAGGCAGCCTGCAAGAGGTGGGCCTGTGCCATCCCAGGGGCTGTGGCCCACTGGGGTACATTGGGGATGAGCAGGGAAGCACAGCTCTGCAATGGCAAATGGGAGTGCTGCCAGTCTCCCCTGAGGGGCAGGGGCTCACTGCCTGACTTCTCTCCAACATCCCACACACCTACTGCTGGCCAGTGCTTTGTGGTCTCTCCCACTGGTGACTGCTACCTCTGTCCCTGACCTTGCCCACCCACTGCCCCAGGCAGCAATGATATCCCAGCATGCACTGCAGCACAACTGAGACGTGGTGAGACTGCAAGGCTGGACAGGTGCCAGGCAAGGACCACTGCCCGGCCAGGGTTTCCCCTGCAGATGCTCAGGGACACAGCTGAGTCCAGGCCAGGGTTCACTTGTGGTCACTGTGCACCTGCTCCTGGTCCAACTCCAGCAGCCCCAGGGGCTGGCACCAGGCTCTCCCGGTGGCTGAGGTGGTGGAAGAGCCCTGGGTCAGCTGCATTGCTTCCTCCTGTGGTTCCCCCAGGCCTGAGGTAGGAGCCACTCCCACACCAACTTGTTCCCCATGCCCCAATTGCCTGATGTGCCCACAGCTCTTACAGTCCTGACTTGTGCCCTGTGTCCTGCAGGCCTGAAGTGTGCCCACAGCTCTTGCAGTCCTGACTTGTGCCCTGTGTCCTGCAGGCCTGATGTGTGCCCACAGGTCTTACAGCCCTGACTTGTGTGCCGTGTCCTGCCTGGGTGTCCTGCAGACCAGGTGCATGCCCCCATGTCCTAGAGTAGCGGTGCTTGCTCAAAATCCTGTGGGTGCCACATCTGATGCCCACAGCATCAATGTCTTACTTTCCAGAGGGGCAAGTTAGAAAATCATCCAACATGGAGAGGCAGAGCAGGGGAAGGAGGCAGCAGGAGAGTGAGCCCTCCCCGCCACACACAGGGGCAGCACCCCTTGGCCCAGCAGTGGCCGTCTCTCAGCCCCTGTGGTGGCAAGCGGTGCTGGCCCCACTCCCGTGCCACAGCTCTGGCAGACGTGAGAGGGAGATGTGTGCGGAGCCGCCAGACCAGCTTCCAGGCTCCCGTTCATCTTGTTCCTTTACTGCGTTTTATGTGTAGCAGGCACTTGAGTTTATATGAAGATGTTGGCTTCGGGAAGGGGCGGGGGCCCGTGGAGGCAGTCGCAGGCCGGCTAGCCCAGGATGTCCAGGTAGACAGGGGTGGCCTTGCCCAACGCCAGCAGGATTTTGTGGATTTCCTTGATGCTCAGCCGCTGCTGTGGCTCCTGCTGCCAGCAGCCCAGCATCACATCATACACCTCCTTAGGGCAGGCACGCGGACGCTCCAGCACACGGCCCTGCGTGATGCACTCGATGACCTGCGGAGGGCACGGCGTAGTCATTGCCTGCACACCTCCTGGGGGCCCATGCTGCCCCCACCCTGTGTGCCTTGGAGCCCCATTCTGCCCTCCCCTGCCTCCTTCAAGAGAAAGGGGTAAATTCACACCACACCATGATGGAGTGTCTGGCTCCATGAGTGTCTAGGCAATTAGCTTTCCCAGAGACACTTGGCTGCTGCCAGGAGCCTGACCTTGAGCCTGGTGCTGTCTCAGGCTTGCCTGAGAGACAAGCCCTGCTCAGCGCAAACACACCCAAAGCCCAGGGCTACCATGCAGCATGGAGTTCGTGTTCAGATGCGCAAGTGTGCGTGAATACATGTGTGTACACATGATGGCATTGTGTGCACTCTGAAAGTGTGTACATGTGAGAGCACACACTTGTGTGTGCATCTGACAGCATGTGTGTGCATGTGTGTGTGAGTGCGCAGAGCCCAGGTTGCGTCTTGGCTCTGAGGAAGCCGTAAGAAGTGGGCTCCGTGCTAGCAGAGGCCATTTGGTGAATGTCCAGTGTTAAGACCAAGGTGCCTCCTTCCCAACCCTCAGAAATCACTGAGGTGAGAGCAGAACAAAATAGGACTGCCAATTCATGGCCCTCACACAGCCCACGCCCAAACATGACTACCCACAGCCCTCACACATGCCCATGCCCACCCAAACATGCCCATCCACGGCCCTCACACAGCCCATGCCCACCCATGCCCATCCACGGCCCTCACACAGCCCATGCCCACCAATGCCCATCCACGGCCCTCACACAGCCCATGCCCAAACATGCCTACCCACAGCCCTCACACAGCCCATGCCCACCCAAACATGCCCATCCACGGCCCTCACACAGCCCATGCCCACCCATGCCCATCCACGGCCCTCACACAGCCCATGCCCACCCATGCCCATCTATGGCCCTCACACAGCCCATGCCCACCCATGCCCATCTATGGCCCTCACACAGCCCATGCCCACCAATGCCCATCCACGGCCCTCACACAGCTCACGCCCATCCATGCCCACCTATGCCCATCCATGGCCCTCACACAGCCCATGCCCATCCATGGCCCTCACATAGCCCATGCCCACCTTATGTCCATTCACAGCCTTCACACAGCCCATGCCCACCCATGCCCACCCACATCCCCCACACATCACACACTCACCCATGCCCACCCATGGCCCCCATGCAGCCCACATCCACCTATGTTCTCACACAGCCCCATGCAGCTCATACCTACCCATGCCCACCCATGGCCCTCACACAGCCCATGCCAACCCACATCCCCCACACAGCCCACACTCACCTATGCCCACCCACAGCCCCACCCCCCCAGAATTCATTCCTGCTCCAATCCCAGGGATGTGTGTCCCAGGCAGCGTCTGGCCCCAGCCGGTGCCCACCTCCATGTTGGAGAGCTGGAACCAGGGCTGCTTCCCATAGGTGAAGATCTCCCAGAGGATCACCCCGAAGCTCCAGACGTCACTCTCCGTCGTGAACTTGCGATACATGATGCTCTCACGTGGCATCCAGCGGATGGGGAGCATAGTATGTCCTCCCACCTGGCAGGCAGAGACAGGCACCATGTGTGTAGATGCCGCAGCCATGACTATGCCACAACCACAGCCACACAAGGCATGAGCAAACACTGACGTCCAGCCCCACAGCCCACTGTGGCCGTAGGAGGGATAGCACAGGGAAGATACTTCCTCAGGACTGGGCTGCAGTAAATGCAGTCTCCAGGGGGTCCTGGGAGCCCCAGCAAACAGCAAGAAGCCCCAGGTGTGAGTCACAGTCTGGCTGTGGGAGGGTCAGGTGGCTATTCCCATGGGCATGCCCCACAGAGGCAGGGATATGACCTCTACCTAAACTTGGCACTAGGCACTCAGAACTGGGCACGAGGGGCTCTAGGAGTAGGGGAACTCAAGTAACCACATGGATGGAGGCCCACAGGGGACAGTGGTAGACAAGAGAGGAGGGCAGGTTGAGCAAAGGAGTGCAAGGGCTCCCCTTCACTCAGCCCAACGTTTGGCAGAGCTCAGCTACAGAGTGGGGTCTCGCCCACACGCAGATGGATAACTCTTCATCCTCACACAGACAGGGCTATCAGCCTCATCCTCCTGGAGCAGGGAAGGATGGGGTTGCGGGGGCTCTGCCAGGTGCGATGACACAGAAAAACAGAAGCAGAGCCCACACCCCATAATCATGCAGACACCCCAGAAATGCAGTTGCTGCTCCAACTGAAAAAGCTTCTTGTGAGGTTGTAAAGACTCCAAGGTCCTCATCCCAAAGGACAGGGCTGCACTGCTCCTCACACCAGACCTGGCTCACAGCTTTCAGGCCGCTAATGTTAGACTGTGGGTAAAATGCTATTGTTGGGCAGTGTGAGGTTCCTTTGTGTAGAGAAAACTGCTACGCTGGAAGGCCAGGAGGCGCCTGGAGCTTGGGAGGATTCCGCTTTAGTGATAAATCTATTCTTTGCTGTCCTGCAACTTTGTGAACCCAGGTGCAGGGGGGGAAGGGCACAATTCTTCTCTGGTCCCAGGAACAGGAGGAAGATAAGGGTGTGAGAATGGGATGAGCCATACAGATAATGGGTATGGGAACAGAACAGGCTACCTGTGCCTGAAGGCCATAAAAATGAACATGTCTAAGGCTGTTACTTTTGATGTATTTCCCAGCCCAAAAAGGCCTATATAAGCTTCTGTCTTGGGCTGTTTGGGGTCCGACCACCCTGCTTGGCTGGCCTGTGTGCTCCAAGTGCGGGCTGGCCCCAGCATGCTGGTGCAATAAACTCTGTTTGCTGTTTGCATTACCAGTGAGACTCTTTGTCGTTCTCTGGGGTTTGACTACCTCGCACCCTGACATCCGGGGGGCTTTGCCCCAGACTCTAACACTCCCTACTTAGGGGCCCACAGAAGGGATATGAACCAGTCCAACCCTCATGGAGGAAAAAGGAGTGGGACAAGAACTCCATAAGAGGCTAAATGGATGGTTATGCATCTACCGCAACCTCAGCCACAGACCCAGTAAACTAGAATGATTGCAAAGAGGAGAAGAGTTTCTGTTAGATCATCATACAGCTATATACCAAGAGGGAAGGTGTTCTCGTCACAGAAGAACAAAGGAGGGGAAAAGAGCAGGCAGAGAGAGCATGCTCACAATAGGGAGCATGTGTGCACAGTGAGAGGAGCATGTGTGTGCACAGTGAGAGGAGCATGTGTGTGCACAGTGAGAGGAGCATGTGTGAGCACAGTGAGAGGAGCATGTGTGTGCACAGTGAGAGGAGCATGTGTGCACAGTGAGAGGAGCATGTGTGCACAGTGAGAGGAGCATGTGTGTGCACAGTGAGAGGAGCATGTGTGTGCACAGTGAGAGGAGCATGTGTGTGCACAGTGAGAGGAGCATGTGTGTGCACAGTGAGAGGAGCATGTGTGTGCACAGTGAGAGGAGCATGTGTGCACAGTGAGAGGAGCATGTGTGTGCACAGTGAGAGGAGCATGTGTGTGCACAGTGAGAGGAGCATGTGTGTGCACAGTGATTCGAGCATGTGTGCACAGTGAGAGGAGCATGTGTGTGCACAGTGAGAGGAGCATGTGTGTGCACAGTGAGAGGAGCATGTGTGCACAGTGAGAGGAGCATGTGTGCACAGTGAGAGGAGCATGTGTGTGCACAGTGAGAGGAGCATGTGTGCACAGTGAGAGGAGCATGTGTATGCACAGTGAGAGGAGCATGTGTGCACAGTGAGAGGAGCATGTGTGCACAGTGAGAGGAGCATGTGTGTGCACAGTGACAGGAGCATGTGTGCACAGTGAGAGGAGCATGTGTGTGCACAGTGAGAGGAGCATGTGTGCACAGTGAGAGGAGCATGTGTGTGCACAGTGAGAGGAGCATGTGTGCACAGTGAGAGGAGCATGTGTGCACAGTGAGAGGAGCATGTGTGTGCACAGTGAGAGGAGCATGTGTGTGCACAGTGAGAGGAGCATGTGTGCACAGTGAGAGGAGCATGTGTGCACAGTGAGAGGAGCATGTGTGCACAGTGAGAGGAGCATGTGTGTGCACAGTGACAGGAGCATGTGTGCACAGTGAGAGGAGCATGTGTGTGCACAGTGAGAGGAGCATGTGTGTGCACAGTGAGAGGAGCATGTGTGTGCACAGTGAGAGGAGCATGTGTGCACAGTGAGAGGAGCATGTGTGCACAGTGAGAGGAGCATGTGTGCACAGTGAGAGGAGCATGTGTGCACAGTGAGAGGAGCATGTGTGAGCACAGTGAGAGGAGCATGTGTGCACAGTGAGAGGAGCATGTGTGCACAGTGATTCGAGCATGTGTGTGCACAGTGAGAGGAGCATGTGTGTGCACAGTGAGAGGAGCATGTGTGCACAGTGAGAGGAGCATGTGTGTGCACAGTGAGAGGAGCATGTGTGTGCACAGTGAGAGGAGCATGTGTGCACAGTGATTCGACCATGTGTGCACAGTGAGAGGAGCATGTGTGCACAGTGAGAGGAGCATGTGTGCACAGTGAGAGGAGCATGTGTGTGCACAGTGAGAGGAGCATGTGTGCACAGTGAGAGGAGCATGTGTGTGCACAGTGAGAGGAGCATGTGTGTGCACAGTGAGAGGAGCATGTGTGCACAGTGAGAGGAGCATGTGTGTGCACAGTGAGAGGAGCATGTGTGTGCACAGTGAGAGGAGCATGTGTGCACAGTGAGAGGAGCATGTGTGTGCACAGTGAGAGGAGCATGTGTGCGCAGTGAGAGGAGCATGTGTGCACAGTGAGAGGAGCATGTGTGCACAGTGATTCAAGCATGTGTGTGCACAGTGAGAGGAGCATGTGTGCGCACAGTGAGAGGAGCATGTGTGCACAGTGAGAGGAGCATGTGTGTGCACAGTGAGAGGAGCATGTGTGCACAGTGAGAGGAGCATGTGTGCACAGTGACAGGAGCATGTGTGTGCACAGTGAGAGGAGCATGTGTGTGCACAGTGAGAGGAGCATGTGTGCACAGTGAGAGGAGCATGTGTGCACAGTGAGAGGAGCATGTGTGCACAGTGAGAGGAGCATGTGTGCACAGTGAGAGGAGCATGTGTGCACAGTGAGAGGAGCATGTGTGTGCACAGTGACAGGAGCATGTGTGCGCATAGTGAGAGGAGCATGTGTGTGCACAGTGAGAGGAGCATGTGTGTGCACAGTGAGAGGAGCATGTGTGTGCACAGTGAGAGGAGCATGTGTGCACAGTGAGAGGAGCATGTGTGCACAGTGAGAGGAGCATGTGTGTGCACAGTGAGAGGAGCATGTGTGCACAGTGAGAGGAGCATGTGTGTGCACAGTGACAGGAGCATGTGTGCACAGTGAGAGGAGCATGTGTGCACAGTGACAGGAGCATGTGTGCACAGTGAGAGGAGCATGTGTGCACAGTGAGAGGAGCATGTGTGCACAGTGAGAGGAGCATGTGTGTGCACAGTGAGAGGAGCATGTGTGTGCACAGTGAGAGGAGCATGTGTGCACAGTGAGAGGAGCATGTGTGCACAGTGAGAGGAGCATGTGTGTGCACAGTGAGAGGAGCATGTGTGTGCACAGTGAGAGGAGCATGTGTGCACAGTGAGAGGAGCATGTGTGTGCACAGTGAGAGGAGCATGTGTGCACAGTGAGAGGAGCATGTGTGCACAGTGATTCAAGCATGTGTGTGCGCAGTGAGAGGAGCATGTGTGTGCACAGTGACAGGAGCATGTGTGTACACAGTGACAGGAGCATGTGTGCACAGTGAGAGGAGCATGTGTGCACAGTGAGACGAGCATGTGTGCGCAGTTTGAGGAGCATGTGTGCACAGTGAGAGGAGCATGTGTGTGCACAGTGAGAGGAGCATGTGTGCACAGTGAGAGGAGCATGTGTGCACAGTGAGAGGAGCATGTGTGTGCACAGTGAGAGGAGCATGTGTGTGCACAGTGAGAGGAGCATGTGTGTGCACAGTGAGAGGAGCATGTGTGTGCACAGTGAGAGGAGCATGTGTGCACAGTGAGAGGAGCATGTATGTGCACAGTGAGAGGAGCATGTGTGCACAGTGAGAGGAGCATGTGTGTGCACAGTGAGAGGAGCATGTGTGTGCACAGTGAGAGGAGCATGTGTGCACAGTGAGAGGAGCATGTGTGCACAGTGAGAGGAGCATGTGTGCACAGTGAGAGGAGCATGTGTGCACAGTGAGAGGAGCATGTGTGCACAGTGAGAGGAGCATGTGTGTGCACAGTGAGAGGAGCATGTGTGTGCACAGTGAGAGGAGCATGTGTGCACAGTGATTCGAGCATGTGTGCACAGTGAGAGGAGCATGTGTGTGCACAGTGAGAGGAGCATGTGTGCACAGTGAGAGGAGCATGTGTGCACAGTGAGAGGAGCATGTGTGCACAGTGAGAGGAGCATGTGTGCACAGTGAGAGGAGCATGTGTGCACAGTGAGAGGAGCATGTGTGTGCACAGTGACAGGAGCATGTGTGCACAGTGAGAGGTGCATGTGTGCACAGTGAGAGGAGCATGTGTGTGCACAGTGAGAGGAGCATGTGTGCACAGTGAGAGGAGCATGTGTGTGCACTCTGATTCGAGCATGTGTGTGCACAGTGAGAGGAGCATGTGTGTGCACAGTGAGAGGAGCATGTGTGTGCACAGTGAGAGGAGCATGTGTGCACAGTGAGAGGAGCATGTGTGCACAGTGAGAGGAGCATGTGTGCACAGTGAGAGGAGCATGTGTGTGCACAGTGAGAGGAGCATGTGTGCACAGTGAGAGGAGCATGTGTGTGCACAGTGAGAGGAGCATGTGTGTGCACAGTGAGAGGAGCATGTGTGTGCACAGTGAGAGGAGCATGTGTGCACAGTGAGAGGAGCATGTGTGTGCACAGTGAGAGGAGCATGTGTGCACAGTGACAGGTGCATGTGTGCACAGTGAGAGGAGCATGTGTGCACAGTGAGAGGAGCATGTGTGTGCACAGTGAGAGGAGCATGTGTGTGCACAGTGAGAGGAGCATGTGTGCACAGTGAGAGGAGCATGTGTGTGCAGGTGCAGCTGTGACATCTTTGACATCGGTTCTTTCCACCTTACTTCATTGCAGAGACAGAGAGGCAGAATGAGAGAAGACCCACCCACCTTAGACACACATATAGCAGCCTGTGTTGGCTCTGACATTAGCTGGCGGTCTAAACGCACTCTACAGGCTGCACCATGTGCAGTAGGAAGCCAAGCCTGCGAGCCACAACTTCTGCCTCCCAGAGCAGGCTATCAGGTGGCTGTACTCCACAGGGGACCTGAATTACAGCTAGCATCCACGCAGACTGCCATGTCCTTCTCCTTGTCTCTCAGTGTGTGAGGACTTGTCTCACACTGAATGGGAGCTCAGAATGCCTAGGGCTGGGGGTTGCTGATGCCCCTCATCTCATACATAATGTCACATGTAGTGTTGGAAATGTCTTCCAAGTATGGCCACAACAATTCATGAAGTTGGTATGTGTATAGAGGGGACACACATGAACATAGAGGAAGCACCAGTTACATCAAATGAATGTGACAAAGGACAGTCAGCTGGGAAGCCAAACCCTCTGCAGACTGTAGGCTCAAGAAGACACTGATAAAAGACATTTGAAAAGCACAGGGAAGAGTTTCTATGCTTTTCACGAGTATCAGGACCATGTGTGCCTGTACTGCAAATGGTCACAGGGCACACACTGCTACCACAGCTTCCTGAAAAATTCTCACATCAGAATCATTAGTTCAGCCCCAAAGATCTCAAACTCAGGAGAAAAAATAATCCCCCCCTCAAATTGAGAAACATTTTCTGCATTAACATCAGTTGATGCAAAAAATTAGCAAAAGAATATTTTTAAGATTCTACAGCCAACGAAAAAGAAGCCAACTGAGAAAGAATAAACAAGATAAAACAAGAATAAACAAGATTATTAAACAAGAATAAACAAGATTAAATTCTGTAGTAATGAATAAATTCCTACTCGGGCACACAGTGAACTGCGGTTTAAATCATATAGGGTGAATCAATACTTAAGCATTGTGTCAAACGTCATAGGGATTCAGATCAAATGTAACTGAGAATTTCAAAGCAAATATAAAGAATAAGAAAGAATGTGACAGAGCACAATGGGCATAAAACTGAGCCAAGCTGCACAAGAAAGGGAGAGACGGGCCAGGTCGGGGCCAGCAGCCGCCATAGGGTCAGGAGAGACTGGCAGGTGGGACCCGCAGTCCCTTAGGGTCAGGGTCAGGAGAGACGGGCAGGTCGGGGCCCGCAGTCCCTTAGGGTCAGGAGAGATGGGCCAGGTCGGTGCCAGCAGCCACCATAGGGTCAGGAGAGACGGGCCAGGTCGGGGCCAGCAGTCCCTTAGGGTCAGGGTCAGGGTCAGGAGAGACGGGCCAGGTCGGGGCCAGCAGTCCCTTAGGGTCAGGGTTAGGAGAGACGGGCCAGGTCGGGGCCAGCAGTCCCTTAGGGTCAGGGTCAGGAGAGATGGGCCAGGTCGGGGCCAGCAGTCCCTTAGGGTCAGGAGAGATGGGCCAGGTCGGTGCCAGCAGTCCCTTAAGGTCAGGGTCAGGAGAGACAGGCAGGTCGGGGCCCGCAGTCCCTTAAGGTCAGGGTCAGGAGAGACGGGCCAGGTTGGGGCCAGCAGTCCCCAGAGGGTCAGGGTCAAGAGAGTCAGGGCCAGCAGTCCCATAGGGTCAGGATCAGGAGAGATGGGCCAGGTCGGGGGCAGCAGTCCCATAGGGTCAGGGTCAGGAGGGACAAGTGGATTGGGGCCAGCAGTCCCTAGAGGGTCAGGGTCTGGAGAGATGGGTGGGTCAGGGCCAGTAGTTCCCAGAGGGTCAGGGTCAGGATAGATGGGCTGGGTTGGGGCCAGCAGCCCTCAGAGGTAGCCCAGGTATATGGGAATCAGGCCAGTGACGAAAGTGCAGTAAATCAAGAACATCAACCCATAAGCATGTTAAACTGCACAGAAACCTACATGAGCATGTGAGACCAGACTCTTGGGAAGCTCACTGAGGGGCCACTTGTGTTACTCCAAAGAAAAACTATAAAGGTCTTACCCAAACCCCTCGGTGTGAGTGCAAGGCCTAGATGACATCATCACATTTAGCACAGGCCATCAGGTCCAGGGGCACAGAGATGTGCGACCCACATTATTTCAGACTAGATGTATGGTCTACACTGCGTGAAATATACCTTATAAAACACCTAAAATCAGAAAAGACACTGCTACCTGGGGAAGTGAAAGCCGAGTCTGACTCGCTGAGGGTGGGACCTTTGCAACATTCGGAGAACACTCCCACCATTCACCTGTGAGGACAGCCAGAATTTGCTGGTGCCCTGTGTGCGGCCCCCTTAGGCCCACTATTCACCTGTGAGGACAGTCTGAACCTGCTGGTACCCTGTGTGCGGCCCCCTTAGGCCCACCATCCTGCTGTGACGACAGTCTGAGGCTGCTGGTACCCTGTGTGCGGTCCCCTTAGGCCCACCATCCTGCAGTGATGACAGTCTGAGGCTGCTGGTACCCTGTGTGCGGCCCCCTTAGGCCCACCATCCTGCTGTGATGACAGTCTGAGGCTGCTGGTACCCTGTGTGCGGTCCCCTTAGGCCCACCATCCTGCAGTGACGACAGTCTGAGGCTGCTGTTACCCTGTGTGCGGTCCCCTTAGGCCCACCATCCTGCAGTGACGACAGTCTGAGGCTGCTGTTACCCTGTGTGCGGTCCCCTTAGGCCCACCATCCTGCTGTGACAACAGCCTGAGCCCACCGGTGCCCTGAGTGCGCCCCCCTTAGGCCCACCATCCTCCCATGTGAACAGTTCAAGCCTGCTGGTGCCCAACATGTGTCCCCACACACACGGCCATGCCAGCTCAAGGACATGGAACCCTCATGCAACAGTGACTCAAATGCTTACAACTTATGGACATAAGTGTTGGTGTGAAATGAAGACTAGATTTTGATTAAAGTGCTAGAAAATACAATATATCTATATTTTATATATACACATGTCTATTATATCTGAAGAAAACATCTAAATGTCTGGAATGCAAAATAAATGCCATTTCCAAGGAAACAAAGCCTGCAGGTCAGGAACTCCTAATGCATCCCTCACATCCATCTACTTGTTCAACACAACCTCCATGAAAACCCAATAGCAGGATGAGCCCTGAGTGCGCCCGGTGAAGTAACACTGAGGCTAAGTCACTGGGGTTCACTCTGCCCAGCAGCAACATAATCACCCAGCGAGCACCCGGCCCTGCGGCAGAGTCACATGTAAATACTGGGAGTTAGTATAAAAGACAAGGAGTTAGTAACCGAGCAGTGTGACAACAAACTAATAACCAAAAAAAAGCCTCTTGGATACCTACCTCACACCATATACAAAAATCATTCCCAGATGGATTAAAGAGCTAAACATAAAAACAAAATAATAATTGTATTAGCAGAAAGCCTAGAAAAGCACTTGCAGAGCCTCAGGGGAAAGAGGCCTTCCCAAAGACATGATCCCAACGCCAGCTACTTACAATCCCAAAGCTGCCTCATGGAAATGGGCGAGTAAGCACAAACACACAGCTGCAGTCAACGCAGCAGCAGAGGATACACCCACATCACACAGCAGCACACAGCATCCTGGGGGAAGGATGAGAGCAATGCGGCCAGAGACAGGTAGGGAGGAGGGAGGGTGACACAGGGACAGGTGAGGGAGGGGGGAGGGTGACACAGGGACAGGTGAGGGAGGGGAGGGTGACACAGGGACAGGTGAGGGAGGGGGGAGGGTGACACAGGGACAGGTGAGGGAGGGGGAGGGGGACACAGGGACAGGTGAGGGAGGGGAGGGTGACACAGGGACAGGTGAGGGAGGGGGACAGTGACACAGGGACAGGTGAGGGAGGGGAGGGTGACACAGGGACAGGTGAGGGAGGGGGGAGGGTGACACAGGGACAGGTGAGGGAGGGAGGGTGACACAGGGACAGGTGAGGGAGGGGGGAGGGGGACACAGGGACAGGTGAGGGAGGGGGACAGTGACACAGGGACAGGTGAGGGAGGGGAGGGTGACACAGGGACAGGTGAGGGAGGGGGGAGGGTGACACAGGGACAGGTGAGGGAGGGAGGAGGGTGACACAGGGACAGGTGAGGGAGGAGGGAGGGTGACACAGGGACAGGTGAGGGAGTGGGGAGGGTGACAGTGACACAGGGACAGGTGAGGGAGGGGGGAGGGTGACACAGGGACAGGTGAGGGAGGAGGGGAGGGTGACACAGGGACAGGTGAGGGAGGGGCGGAGGGTGACACAGGGACAGGTGAGGGGGGGGACAGTGACACAGGGACAGGTGAGGGAGGGGAGGGTGACACAGGGACAGGTGAGGGAGGGGCGGAGGGTGACACAGGGACAGGTGAGGGAGGGGGGAGGGGGATACGGGGACAGGTGAGGGGGGAGGGGGACACAGGGACAGGTGAGGGAGGGGGACAGTGACACAGGGACAGGTGAGGGAGGGGGAGGGTGACACAGGGACAGGTGAGGGAGGGGGGAGGGGGACAGTGACACAGGGACAGGTGAGGGAGGGGGGAGGGGGACACAGGGACAGGTGAGGGAGGAGGGGAGGGTGACACAGGGACAGGTGAGGGAGGGAGGAGGGTGACACAGGGACAGGTGAGGGGGGGGGACAGTGACACAGGGACAGGTGAGGGAGGGGAGGGTGACACAGGGACAGGTGAGGGAGGGGCGGAGGGTGACACAGGGACAGGTGAGGGAGGGGGAGGGGGATACGGGGACAGGTGAGGGGGGAGGGTGACACAGGGACAGGTGAGGGAGGGGGACAGTGACACAGGGACAGGTGAGGAGGGGTCAGTGACACAGGGACAGGTGAGGGAGGGGAGAGGGGGACACAGGGACAGGTGAGGGAGGGGGAGGGTGACACAGGGACAGGTGAGGGAGGGGGGAGGGTGACACAGGGACAGGTGAGGGAGGAGGGAGGGTGACACAGGGACAGGTGAGGGAGGGAACAGTGACACAGTGTTAGGTAAGAGAGGAGGGTCAGGTGGACACACAGCTGTGGACACACAGTAGGGTCAGGGGTACAGGTGGACATAGAGCAATCACATGAACACACAGATATGGGGTTAGCATGGGAGTTGAGGTGGACGCACGCAGGGGTGCACATGGACCCAGCATAGCCGCAAACAGCTGCAGGTGCATGAGAGATGGTGCTAGGACAGAAAGGAAACTGCCATGGGCATCCTTTGGGGACAATCAGAAAATGGACCAGACCCAGGGTCGAGGGGTCTGAGGCGGGAACTACAAGGACTGGCTGATACTGAGCCCAGCACTTCCCTTCCAGGAATCTAGGACAAGGTTAGAGGAGTCAGAAGGGGCCTGGGCCTTCTTGTCAAATGCAGGCAGGATGTATCAAGGGGAGAGCATCACTGTAAAATCCATCAGCACCTCTGCCCTCCCAGGCAAGTGCACCCCTAGACTGGCACACACAGCACCACATACATGTCACAGCTGCCCTAGGACAGTGAGCGATCACCACCACAAACAGCCGAGGGCACCAAGAGACAGTGAATGGCCACTGGCGGAATCCACTTCTCTGATCACATATGCTTCAGGAAGTGCCCAGACCAGTAACATAAACCACCAGTTCTCTGTGCGTGGTGTCTAGGGCCGATACACGTCAGGGTCACACGAGTGAATTGACCGACACAGGCTCAGGCAACTGCAGTGGCGAACAGGAGATCATGTCCTGCAGCAATCATGGCAGAACAGCTTCCTGCACCGGTTCCAGCAGCAGGGCAGTGTGCCCTACTGAGAGCACAGGCTGGCCGAGCATCCAGAGGGAGTCTGATCTGCCATAGGCACAAGGCTTACCAGGAAGGACATGGGCACACAGTGCACACTGGGGCTAGACCCTCTAGGAGGTGACTGTGGGACACAGAGCATCCATCTCCCATCTGTCTGTGAGGTGACCAGGCCTCTGGGTTCCTGTGTTTGCAGCCATGCAGGGTGGGGCCATCAGCCCCTCCCCTTCTGGGAAAATGGATGCCTAGGGGCTGAGGCTGTGTCCCCAGCAGCCTGAGTTCCAGTGAGCAGCTCCATCTGTGGTCATCACTTGACTCCCACGGTGACTTGAAACTTGTGCCTGCATCTCCCCCTGTCCCCACAATCCGTGGGGCATTCCCTGGTGTTACATGTGGTCTGGCGCCCACCCGCATGGCTCCCACTCTTCCTGACAGTATATAGCCTAAACCCCTCCTCCGTGGGGATGACGGTCACTGGAAATCAACACCTGACTTCCAACCATCGCACACATTTGTCACTGCAAATCCAGATGGCAGGACGTAAAAGGCTTTCATGCATCAAGTATATGACAGATAATAAAACCTAGTGAGACAACGAAGCAGAGCGGAACTGCCTGGAGAGTGCTCGCTGAAGATGTGCTCGCCTGTCTAATGGGCACACGCATGCAGAATGGTTCTGGCATTTAAAGTTCATTTAATGCATAACACGAATGTCAATATTTACAATATTCTGGGAATGGCATCATTTGCAACTAGCTAAGAGGCAACTTACACTGTGCCAGGGTATGAAGTTCTGTGTGATTCTTTCAAGAAAGAAGAGTTTGAGGCTTGTGAGTCAAAACCAATGGTTTCCAGGGTGAGTCCCAGGCTGGACCCATCCCGGGCCAGTGCTGAGGCCTGTGAGCAGGGAGCTCAGTAGTTGTGGACAGCCCAGCAGGTGTGACATCTCCCCTAATCTGGCAGCTGGGGACAGGGTCCTATGGGGCATACACATTATCTCACAGTATGCTGACGGAATGCATGCCTGCCCCATGTCCCACCCTATACAGCTACTAGGAGCCAGACTCAGCCCCAAAACCAAACCTGGAGTCACCACCTCCTGGCCCTCCTGCAGGCACCATGCCTGATGGAATCCCACAGCCTCACAGCCCTCCTGCGGGCACCATGGCTGCATTCAACCCTCAGCAGCAGCACTTGGGCTGAACTTTTCACCCCAGGCCTAGGGGACCCAGAACCACAGCCTCCCCAGAGCCGTCCATGCAGGAGGAGGGGTCATGCCCTTTCTTATGCTTAGCTACAGGGCAGAAGAACCTAGTGGTCCCCAAGTCAGTAGATCTGCTCCATGAGGAGGCAGCACACAGACCTGTCTTGAGCCTACCTTCCCTACAACTGCTGAGCTGTCCACACCTGCTGGGCTGTCCACAGCTACTGGACTGTCCACACCCACTGGGCTGTAGACACCTGCTGGCCTGCCCTTTCCCTCTGCTTCCAGCCTGAGACACTGTACCACACCTGCCCTGCCACGGGGGCTCTGACCACACTTGCCCTGCCACGGGGGCTCTGGCCACACCTACCTCTGCTTCGGGGCTCTGGCCAAACCTGCCCTGCCACGGGGGCTCTGACCACAGTGGCTATCACAGCGGCTCTGACCACACCTGCCCCTGCAATGAGGGCTCTAACCACACCTGCACTGGCTCTGGCCACGCCTCTCCTCTCCTGTGTGATCATGCCTTCTCTACCTCTCCCCATTTTCTCCTTGCACTAGCACCTGCTATGTGACTCATATCTGGGGCCTCCCTTTGGCCAAGAGATCATATGAGAGAGAAAGCATCATTGGTGGGTCTGAATGGGAACTGGGCTGGGAGACACTAGGATGTCATCCTTTACTGGGCCGGTCCAGCGTGCACCTGTCTGCATGAAGAGTTAGCACACAATGTGGATGAGAGGACAATGCTCAGAGACAGCCCAGTTAAATGCGTGTGCAGAAAGGGGTAGGGCCCCCAACAGAATAGTAAACACACATGTTACATGTTAGGATGGGGGTGGCTGAGAGCTGCCAAATGCATGCTCGGGCAAGCGTGTGCATCGTGTGCACCAAGGGGCAGGGTCCATGGACAATGACAGACAAGCAAGGCACTCATCCCATAATCCAGTCATATGGCTGGAAGGCCACTTACCCTGTAGTAGTCTGTACTATATACGTCCCGAGACATGCCAAAGTCACCAATCTTCACCAGCAGGTTGGCCCCCACCAGGCAGTTCCTCGTGGCCAGGTCACGGTGCACAAAGTGCTGCGAGGCCAGGTACACCATGCCGGAGGCGATCTGGCTGGCGATGTGCAGCATCTGCGAGAGCCCTAGCTCACCCTTGGCCTGGCGCGGCTGCCCATCCACGAGGATCATCGCGTCCGGACCATGGGCCCTTCGAGGGGACAGGGAAGGAGCAGGACAGAGGTTTAGCCACTCTGGGGGAAGGACTGTGGGCCCTGCCATGTCCTTTTGGAGGGCCCCATGAGACGGACACAAGCCAGGTGAATCCACCTGAAATGACTAAAAGAGGGCAAAACTGCAGCCCAGACCCCAGCAGGATAACACAACAACCAGGTGGCCACATGAACCTCACCTGGCACAGGCCAGATCTCCCAGAGAGAGGGCGGTGGCAACACTGATCCTCCTCCTCCATGCTGTGACATGGGCAGAGTCACCAGGTCAACAGCCTTGGGGTCAGCAGGAGGGCAGGAAGGATCACTCCCTAGGACCTGTGCAGTAGGTCCAGCCCCACCCCAGCAAACTGAATGATGGGCGGAACTCACTCGTGTGCATTTCCCACCAGTTTCAGGTGGTCAGCAGTGGACACGGGAGTCCATGCTCCATGCTCGGGGATGAGCTAAGTTCCTGACAGCACAGGCACACAGACCTGGAGAACCCCCCCCCCATCCAAGACCAAGCCCTCAATTTGGCACCCTAGCAGTTGAGTTGCTGATGGGCCTCTCAGTGCTCCAGGAACCCTGGGAGCAGACAGGGCCAGGCCTTCCTTCCTTTCCCAAGAGGTTCCAGGAAGAGCAGCCTGAGGAAACAGGTGCTTCAGTGTCCACTGAAAGTGATCGGTAAACATCACATTCACCAGCGCAAGTGGATGCACACCTGTTGCAGGAGCTCGCAAAGAGGAGGGAAATACACAAGCCCCTCAATCAGCTACTGGGAACCCATCAGTCCACCTGACAGCACCAGCTGAAGAGGCAAAACCAGGAGCAGAGTTGTGGAGAATGTTGCAGGAGCGTCCACACTGACCCCATGCTTCAGGAACGTCCACCCTCACCCTGTGCTGGAGAGGCATCTACACTGACCCCATGCTGCAGGAGCGTCCACACTGACCCTGTGCAGCAGGAGTGTCCACACTGACCCTGTGCTGCAGGAGCGTCCACACTGACCCTGAGCTGCAGGAGCGTCCACACTGACCCTGTGCTGCAGGAGTGTCCACACTGACCCTGAGCTGCAGGAGCGTCCACACTGACCCTGTGCTGGAGAGGCATCCACACTGACCCTGTGCTGCAGGAGCGTCCACACTGACCCTGTGCAGGAGCGTCCACACTGACCCCGTGCTGCAGGAGTGTCCACACTGACCCCGTGCTGCAGGAGTGTCCACACTGACCTTGTGCAGCAGGAGCGTCCACACTGACCCTGTGCAGGAGCGTCCACACTGACCTTGTGCAGCAGGAGCGTCCACACTGACCCTGTGCTGCAGGAGTGTCCACACTGACCCTGTGCTGCAGGAGTGTCCACACTGACCCCGTGCTGCAGGAGTGTCCACACTGACCTTGTGCTGCAGGAGCGTCCACACTGACCCTGAGCCTCAGGAGTGTCCACACTGACCTTGTGCAGCAGGAGCGTCCACACTGACCCTGAGCCTCAGGAGCGTCCACACTGACCCCGTGCTGGAGGAGCGTCCACACTGACCCTGTGCAGCAGGAGCATCCTCACTGACCCTGTGCGCAGGAGCGTCCACACTGACCCTGAGCCTCAGGAGTGTCCACACTGACCCTGTGCTGCAGGAGTGTCCACACTGACCCTGTGCAGCAGGAGTGTCCACACTGACCCCATGCTGCAGGAGTGTCCACACTGACCCTGAGCTGCAGGAGTGTCCACACTGACCCTGTGCAGCAGGAGTGTCCACACTGACCCTGAGCCTCAGGAGCGTCCACACTGACCCTGAGCCTCAGGAGTGTCCACACTGACCTTGTACAGCAGGAGCGTCCACACTGACCCCGTGCAGCAGGAGCATCCACATTGACCCTGTGCAGCAGGAGCGTCCACACTGACCCTGTGCAGCAGGAGCGTCCACACTGACCCTGCTATCCACCCTTGGTTTTTGGTTCTGCTCTGCTTCATGTCCCCTCTTAGCTGGTCTCCCCTCTCATCCCCCTGGCTGCCTCCTCAATCTCACCCCACCTGCTTCCTCTCATATGGGTTAGCTGGAGGCCTAATTGCCCAGCAGTCCTCTCCAACCTACCGGAGGCATCTGGGTTAGGCAGAGGACAGAATGAGCCCTTGAACCCAAAGCAGGGTGCCTGATTTGGGGGACATACCTGGATTCCCACCAGAACTCTGAGGACCCCACAGCAATGATATCCTTACTGCATGTGCAGAACGTCCTGGGCCCTGGGGCTGCACGCCTCCTTACAGGCCCTTGGAGCTCCTGGGGTGGCCTCATTTCTTAGTGGGAGATGCAGGGGAACCTTCAAGTTTCACCAGAGCCAGCTTTGTCCTGGACGTCCTGGGCCTACCCAACTCACCTGAGAAACTTGTTCAGGTCACCATGCTTCATGTACTCGAAGACCATGATGAGCGGGTCACCATCGCCACAGACACCATAGAACTTGACGATGTGCTCGTGCTGCAAGTTGGTGAGCAGCTCTGCCTCCCGCTGGAAGTCCTTCCGGGCAGCCAGTGTGGGGTCCTTCAGGGCCTGGGAGGGCAGGAGCAGTGGCCCTCACTGCTAGAGTGGTACACCCAGCCCTTCTTCCCATCAGGGGATGCCAGGGTCACCAGGCCCGTCCCCTCTGACAGATGTCTGCAGGAAGGCACAGCCAGCACTGGCCAGTGGCCCCAGTCGTCTCAGCTCCCTGGGCACCCTAAGAGGCTGCCTGAGGGAATGGTTCATGCTGAACCTACTCCTGTCCCAAAAGTCTGCGCAGGAGATGGGGACAGAGGGTGGAGCCTCTGACCTCTAGAAGGTTCCGGGTCCCCCTAGCAGGTGGTTGTGGGAAGCACTGGACCATCTGTGGGCGGCAGCCAAGGGCACCATGAGTGAACAGAATCCCCGAGGGTCCAAACCAGTGTGGGAAGCTGGGCATGTGGTAACCACCAGGTCGGGCATGCTCACACTGTTGGAGTGCCCCTCCTGCCCGAGCCCCACCCACACCAGGGCTCACCTTCACTGCTACCAGCATCTTGTCCTTGGTGGGGCTGAGGTTGTAGCACTCGGCCAGGAAAACCTTGCCGAAGGCGCCCTCGCCCAGTTCCCGCTTCAGCACAATGTCCCTCCTCTTGATGTGCTGGACATCTGCGGGGACACGGGGCAGCAGGTCAGCCCCTGCCCTGGCTGGGCTCAGCGCCTGGGCCGGAAGTGGAGGACAAGAGTGCAGAGTGGAGTTCCTGGGGCTGAGCCCACACCATGGAGGGAGGACCCCACCCAGGGAGGGGAGGAAGGACCCCAATGCCCACACAGGGAGGACAGGCTGGGGCTGCCCCTCCTCACCCAGACTTCTGATCTCACCCTACAGGCTGAGCCTCAGACCCCAGCAGCCCCAGCCTTTCCACGCGTGCCCCCGGCTGGGGACACTGGTGGCAGTGCAGGCAGCATAGGAGCCAATGGCTACCATGAGGGATCCCGGTGGTCACCACAGCTGCAGGGCACAAAATTCAGAGTCTGGTTGCACCTCTCCCATGCCCCAGTCTGGCCTCCAGGGTGCCCTGCTTTCCTGGAATCCATGAGCCCTTCCTTGAGGGGACCTCAGCTGGGTCAATGGGATAATGCAGCTAAGGGCACAGTGTTGGCTGACAGGTTGTCGCCAGGACGTGGTGCCAGGCTGACAGAGCTGACTGGGTAGGGAGGGTCCCTCTCCAGTGAAGGCCCAGGACACGCTCTGGGGCTGCCCCACTTCCCTCAGTCTCCCACCCTCAGCTCCAGGAGAGGCCAGAGGAGGACAGCGCCTCCTAGTCTGGGCCCTATTTGGGGAACTCTCCTCCCCACTGCCAGGGCAGCAAGAACCTTATGGCCTGTGAGTTCCAGAAGAAAGGGGCAGCATGTGGAGGTTCTTACCCCCAGAGGTCCTGTGTGGGCGTTCCCACCTGCCTCCCCGGGGTTCCATGTGGGCGTCCCCAGCCCCAGGGGTTCCATGTGGGCGTCCCCCTCCCCGGGAGTTCCACATGGGTGTCCCCAGCCCCTGGGATTTCCATATAGGCATTCCATGCCTCCTTCCTGTCCACATTGCAGTCCTGGAAGTCCCGGGCAAATACTTCCTGGAATCCTGCCCTCACCCACAGCAGGGCCTCAGGAATGGCTACAGCTACCTGCACACATGAACCCTGGGCACCCAGGGGCTGAGCTCAGAGGCTCAGCTTCTACACACTGTCCTGGACATGAGAGATGGTGCCCGCTGTCCACAGGTCAAGCAGAGGAGGAAGGGGAAGCAAAGGGCCAGGCAACAGCACACAGTCCTGCCCACGTGGATACCCCCACATGCCCAGAAGGGCTGAGGTGCCCTTGCCAGCCCACCCTGTGCTGAGCCCCAGTGGGAGAAACAGACAGAACAAGGGCAGTGGGGACAGCCGGGCGGCTGGGCTGTGGCTCCAGGCATGTGGCTGGGTCCCGGCCGCGCTTATTTTTAGCTCACTGGGGGTTGCTGGGCACTGCCTGTGGTGAGGCCGTCTGACCCATATGCCAGAATGATGGATCCCCTGGGAGCAATAGGCACCAATCTCTCCTTACCACCCAGCTGGTTGGCCCAGACGTCGGGACATGGGGGCGGGGTGCACAGGCCCAGGCCACAGGAAGACCTCCTGGGTCACCAGCAGGAGGGAAGTGTGGCAGGTGTAGGGGGACATCTGGGACTCCAAGGTCCAGCTCTCAAAAAAACTCCTACAGAGGCCCTGCTGTTCCACAGAACACAAACAGCGGGCATTTTAGCACATCAGTGCCTTCTCCAAAGGGTCCAAAATGTCCATCCTACAAGTGGTCATCATTGCTGGGGGCCTTTAGGCCTACAACAATCACAGTCAAGAGCAAAATCCTTAAGGCAGCAAGGCCTCGGAGCTGTGGCCTGGACGTGGACTAAGCCTTGAGGGCCCCAAGGCCCAGGACTGTGCATGGCTCTGGTGGGTTGTCCAGGGCTCCCATACGTGCCGGCCCTTCCCGTGTGCCCAGCTACACAGGCTGCTGGTATTGCAGGTCTCTCAGGTACTGCAGCCCACTGAGGGCACTCCCTGCCTCTCCAGCAGTGTCAGGCTTCCCTCTCTGACCTGGCCATTTTCACAGCTCCTGCCTGACTCTGAAGGCCCCCAGCATGTCTGCAGTGGGTCTACTCCATGGGACAGACTCACCCCATGTACCAGAACCCTCCCTCACCTCCCACTCTGGTCCTTAAGCTCTCTAATCCCACCATGACAGGGAGCAAGGGCAGGGCCACAGGTTACTGTCCCAGCCACGCCAGGCCCTGGGTGAGGGCAGGCCACGGAGAAGTAGCTGGTGGGTTTGCCCAGCTCTGCCTCCCTGCAGAAAGCCATTCACCCCACCACACCTTTGACTGACCCACAATCCATTCTAGGTGGTCACACGGCCAGGAAATTGGGAAAGAGGAGTGGCCCTCCCCATTCCCAGGGCCTGTGTACTTCTGGGAGCACCTGGACAGCCTTGGGTGGCCACCAAGTTATGAAGATGGGGCCTCCAGGGCATCAGCCTCAAGGGTTTACACCAGGTTGGCATAGGCTCATGACAGCAGGCCTGCCTCCAGAGCAGTGGCACACACCTGGGGCTCATAGAAGAGGCCAGTGCCAGACATGGGAGTACCATATCCCTTTGTGCTCCACATGCCACTGCATTTCCCTGGCAGCCACTCTCCTCTGGGGACCCCAGTTTGGTCTGGCTTTTGCCATCACCACACCTGTGTCAGCACATGTGTATGATATGAGCATGTATATATTGGGTTGTGCCTCCATGTGTGCACATATGTAAATATGTTGTGTGAGTACACATGTGTATGGTCATGTGTGCATTGGGTGTGTGTTTCTCTGTGTGCACACATGAGCATGTGGTGAAGCTGCCTCAGCATGTCTGTGGGGTGGGTGCTGTGGGCCCGTGGGCTTCAGCTCGGGAGTGCTGGCTCCCAGAAGCCAGCAGCCCTGTGGCATTCCGTGGTGTTCAGCGACAGTTGTGATGGATGAGCACATGGTACTCTATCCTGACTCCTTGGGCTCCCATGGCCATAGGCCCTGTGCTGGCCCAGGAACTCAGCTCCCAGACCAGCAGAAGCCACCTCAGCTGAAGGCCAAGCCTCTGGGGATAGCTCTGATCAGTAAGCTGAGACCGGGACTCCAGCCTCTCCATCCCCTAAACACACCACCTCACCTCTACCCTGAGTGGGGCCCAAGACCCTTGTTAACTCCAAGGGTCATTTCACCACAGAGCCTCAGGGCCTCCTCCGAAGGCTGGGACGGGGCAGCCACAGAGACCTCTGAAGGGCCTCCTGGCATGGATCCCACCCTCCTGAGTCCCTGCAAGGTGTGACGCTACAGCCCCAATACCCAGAGGCATCGTCAGCCACTCTGCCACACAGAGTGCCTGTAAGCACAGGCGGTGCCCAGGCTCTGCCCCCACACCCCCAACCAGCACCCCTGGAGGAGCAGTGAACAGATGCATGCCCTATCCAGGCTAGTCAATCTCCTCTTCATGGCTGATCCTTGGATCTCTTCTCCAAGGCCGACAAACCCACCCACCAGCTGGCTGCAGTTCTCCCGTCAACCATCCGCTGGGATGCAGACAGGCTCAGTTCTCAGCTCCACTATAGCACAAGCCACTTCCTACCCACTGGGGCAGCTGAGGCACGAGTGCCTCCTGAGGTGAAACCCCATTCCTTCTCTCAGTTCCCTCACAGTGCACCCGGCCTCTCCCATGCACCTCATTCAGGCTCCAGTCAGAGGCAGCACACACAGGTCCTTAGCTCAATGCCAACTGTGCCTCCTGGGCCTGTGAATCAGGGACCAGGCTACAGTCACCCTGGACTCCTGGCCAGGCCAGTGGACAGCAGTTAGCATGCATGCAACCTGTAGCTGCAGCTGAAAGGCCATGCAACAGCAGGGGCAGAAGCCCTGCTGGCCTCTCCCCTGGACGCTCCAGGGCTCCATCCCAAGGTCTTAGCTGATCAGTTCTAAATGAAGATCACTTCCTGGGGGTGCCTGCCATGCCTGAGCCTGCTGTTGCAGCAGGAGCTGAGCCAAGTCAGTTCTGAAGTGGTTCAGGAGCAGGCCTGACTGCTGAGCTTGCCTGCAGGAACATGGGCCCACTCACAGAGGCTGAGTGGGCAGAGGGTGCCAGCAAGCCAATGAAGGCACTAGGCTTCCTGTCAGTCCAGCCTTCCACACTCATTAGGCACCAGCTATGGCCTCTAGCAGGAAGAGGCAGGGCAGCAATGAGGCCGAGTGCTCTGCCATGACTCCAAAGCCCTAGATACCAGGAGGATGCCCGAAAGCCTCACAGGGAATGCCACACACGCCCTAACCATTTCTAGGCTGGCATCTCGGGAGCCCTGACATCCACGTGGCACTGTGGCAGCTGCAGTGGCAGCTTGTTGGGGCTGTTGGAAGTGACACAAGCCTAGCTCACTCATCAGCTTCAACTCAGTGCTCCTTCCCGATCCAGCTTCTTCCTCCCTCCCTGCTGTCCCCAGCCCGTGATCCTTTACCTAGTGCTGGTCTGCATCTCCACTGCCCACAGACATGAGCACAGTGCTCAGAAAATGGAATGTGCCTTCCATGCTAACCCCAGGGCATCAGGGTTCATGTTCAGGAACATGGGGTATGTGGAAGCCACAATGGCACCACTTTGCCAGAGAGAATGCGTGGCCCTCAGTTTGAGTGACGTCTCCAGGAGATGCCTGCCTCCCCTGGTGCTCCTGTGACTTCACTCCATCAGGCTGACCTCTCTCCTGCAGCTCAGGCCAACAGACTGGCTGGACACTTCTAGCTCTGGTCACGCCTCTCTCAGTGTGTGATCCCACAAGGCCGCCGACCCAAAGAGAAGTGGCAGCAGATTCAACCACTGCTCATGGCCCTAGCTTCCCATGTTAAGAGTGCTAGGACAGAGTCCTGTGGCTGCTTCCCATCCCACTCCCTGCGGATGCACTGGGAGGATAGCAGAGGAGAGCCTGAGTGCTTGGGCCCCTGCACACACGGGACACACCCGGAAGAAGCTCCTGATTTTCACTTGACCCAGCACCAGTAGGGATTTGGGGAGTGAACAGGGCGGGGAAGATCTCTGTCTCACTATCAAGTGGGCCAAAGAAGACA